GACAACATGAATATTCTCGTCGTTTCAAGGGACGTATTAATTTTGAGCTGTGGCTCGAATGAGAATTTTTAAAACAAATTGAATACTTTAGTAAACCTTGTCGATAATATCCCTACAAAGTTGCCAGAATGCACGCCAAAAGTGTTCAATTCTTGTTTTTCGATCCACTAACATGAGGAAATTACCTTAAATGTGGCATTGCTGACTCCAAGGGATCGCTTCATCATTTCATTTGCAGCTCGAACATCAGCCGAAGGGCCAGGCGAAGGGGTGCATCGAAAGGGGGGGGGTTGTGAGAGGGTGGAGGGCGGGGGTCCAATCGATCTCTCGCACTTGACAGTGCAGCAGATGCAACCCTTCCTCTACTCCTGCCGGTGGTGTCAGACCGGCGCCAAGTCCATGTCCCTTGATCTCATGTCTGTCTTGATGGATAGACGAAGTGCACTTAAAAACGTAAGCTCAAATCGGTGTAGCTTCTCCTGTAGAACTAACCTAGCCCATAATAAAGTGTAAATTTAAACTAGGGTATTAGACAGAATCGACAACAATGGAATTGGTTATTGTAGTAGGATGGGCCACTCGACACAGCGAGTTTATAGTGGTGAGATTGACCTTGAACCTTCGATTTAGCGTCACTGTTGCGGCAATGCAGGGAAAAACTTGCCTTTAAATATGAAAATTAGGCGGTAAATTTACTAGCTACCTTCTTATACATGCGGTTAGCAAAGCAATAATTATAGCATTATTTTCGAAAAAGTGCTCATAGTGTTATGGGACGTTGCTAACGAAATGCAAATCATTCTACAGGGTGTCTCAAAGTTAAAAGCGAATATTTTCAGAATAGATTTTTGGAATCAAAGTAAGATTTTTTGTTCTATATGAAATATGTCTCAATAATCAACCCCCCCCCCCCCAGAGAGACAGCCACTCTCTCTATATCTCTCTTTTGAGGCCAGGAGTATGTTCGGAGTATATAAGAACATAGGTTTGTCAATTATCATGCAAAATTCACAACATGTCGTGACAATAAAAAAAAACTTTTCTGCCCAAACTTTATGGGGCTATTATTCGAAGGGGGAGGATTTTTTTTTTAAAATATTGGTCCTAAAAAAGTCCTATTTTTATCCCAAAAATCAATTCTGGTAATTTTTGCGTTAAATTGGAAACCATGTATGATAAAATGCTAAATGTAACAATTTTCCTTCGACTCTAAACATTCCTCGCAAATTCGGATCTATTTGTAGGGAAGTAAGAAAAATTAGAGAAAGCTTTAGTCATAAGTATGATTTTAGATCCGGCATTTTGATGAACACACGTCACAGATGAATCGCACAATCCTAGCATAGCTGCGCAAAAATGAGAATCCAGTCAAAAAGTCCGGGGTACGAATCCCGTTAGTATAGTGACAAGTTTTCTCGGAACTATGACAACTAGATCATCAGGAACATATTCTACTCGGCCTTAAACCCTGAAAATTTGAAAGACTAGAGGATGGATGTGCCGATCTTTTCATGTCTCCGGACAATACATAGAATCTGTAGATGGCTAGGTTCCTAACGGAATACAAGCCAATTAATCAGCAGGAAAAAAATGAGGACCATTTTCACAAATAATCATATGGGAGTTTTTCTGCAGAAAATGTCATGAAAATATTTAATGTTTCAAATTAACTTTACTTTATAATAATGTTAATGGCAGAATACAGCTAAAATAGGAATGAGAATTGAGAATGTTTTATTCAACAAGCTATTTCTCTGCAACACCTCACAAAGAAAACAAAAATGCAATGGTATGATCTACAATCAACCACAAAACTCAACGAAAGCCCTTTAAGTTAAGTCTTAAACGGGCAATATTTTGTTAGTGTAGAAAAATCCACCACCAAATTCACTCGAAATTCCCAAATAAAGTGGCAACCCAGAGAATCCATTCGGTTATATCTATGCGTGTAACGTTTAACTTAATATGAACGCTGTTGTTATGCTCTTGCGTTGCGTTCTCAACTTTAAATATTGCATGTCAGCTTGTTCAGCTTGTGTGTTAGGTAATTCAGAAGTTGGATTTTGACATAACGCAAACTGCAGTATCGTGTTCGTCGTATTTTAAACTATGTTCAACAACTGCAGAAACGCGTATTTCGATTTTAAGTCATGGCAGACTTGCTGTCATACACTTCATTGTCTACGTAGACAACTAATTAATGTCATCCCTTGAAAATGTTTTGGTTATCTGTTATTTTTCTTCTCTATGTGAAGGAAACCCTGTGAAAAGTTCAAGCCATGATGTGATTTGGTCTCATTTTTAAACAAATAAGAGCCGAGATTTTGAAACATTACAGTCGAGATACGCGATTTTGCAGTTTCAACGTTGATATATTTCAGATGTTCGTTTAGTGTGATTTTGAACCAGTCTTTGAAATTTTCGTTTCTGATGCTCTTGTGGTGATATTTATGTCAAGGGAGGAATCTTTGCGGAATTACAAATCACTTCCTGAATTTTTACAGTGAAGTAATCAGTTTACTAAAAACTCAGCAACTCTTGTAGTAGCTCAAGTTTACCACACGATACTTGGGACTCTCGAAGGTGAAAAAGTGTATTGTGATATTTGGCAGCAGTGCATGAAGCTCGCAAAAAATGCGGATCATCCAATAATAGATTTGGTCTTTCATCAAATGCAGTCGCATCCCTGGCCAGTTTAATTTCGTTCCCCAACGCGGGATTTTTTTGTGCTGGACGTCATGCCGGTTGCGGGAGCAGGGTCTGCAGGCGTCGCCAATAACGGTCCTTCCTTTCAAGCTGTCTCCCTCTCGCTATTTTACCTCCTTATTTTCTCCATCTCTAAAGCATTGTTCGAATCTCGTGAAGTAACAAATAGAGCAGTGACGTAGTTGGCGATTATTCGTCGAAATTAACGAAATTAAAAATCGGATCGGAAAGTGTAAAAATTTGAAAAAAAAAATGACTATACACTCAATAATATGCATTAAGTAGGCATATCTTCTCAAATTTTTGAATGTGATAAAGTAAACAGAGATCATTGCAGCTCGACTGATACAACTATTTTAATGCAGCTGTCGATTTTTAGTATAACCGTTTATTTGAAGGCGATTTTTATTCAGCGGCCGTGCCGTTCCTTTCTTTCCTCGATTTCTCTAATTGAATTTGTTCTTCTCGGTGGTTTTTGAATTTTTTGTGCTTTTTAATTGTGTGTAACCTGCTCTCGCCCTTCAAAAATATCTTTCAATCGGGAGAAAATTTATCTGAACAAGGGAAAACGAACCAATAATACAAATTAAGACATAAGGCTCTTTTTGAGAATAATAAAGGAAAATTGGACGTATTTCTATCAAACGGAACTATGTGCATTATTACGTGAGCCCTGTTATGCACATATTCTGTTGAGTCTCAGGTCTCATGCACATAGTTCCGTTTGATAGAAATAGTCCAATTTAGCCTTGATGCTATTTTTATAAGTTTCTTCTCCTACGAGGCCTTCCTATTACAAACAATCATCATCAGGCAGGGCAATATATCACATCGTCATCTTACGGCCAAAGTAGGTATCACAACCGCCATGCGACATTTAAAAATTTCCGCCTCCATTTTAATTTTTACAGGGAAATTGTTCAACAAAGCTGTCCGAAAATTTCACTGCATTTATTTTTGTGCTGCTGATAAAACTCAGTGAAATTTTCAAACAGATTAAACCAACAATTTCTCTTTAAAAATATAAAATGGCGGCGGAAAATTTAATTGTCCCATGGCGCTTGTGATACTTTTGCCGGAAGGTGTCGAAATGTTGAATCGGTCACAAATGTTTGGTTTACCAAAAACAAAATACCAAAACATAGCAGAAACATCATATTTAAAATTCGACATATGATATTATAGCTTTAATAACTACAATATTCAAAAATATAACAATAAAGGGTTAAGGAGTGAAGATCAATGCAATCAGATGAGTTACCAAAACACGTAATCAGCCAAATCACGTCCAATGCTGCGGTCTGTAGGTGGAGGTAGAATTCCCCATATTCGTTTCATCCTGATCAGCGACCGCACTCTGTTTAGCGTAATGCGTGAAGTATTCATGCAGTCTTGTGGGCGCTATTGTATGTTCTGCGCTGACAAGCGACCGCAATATGTTTGGCGAGATCAGGAACGATGATACAGCATTAGATTTGAAAGAAACTGTAAAAACAGAGGAAAGATAAAAGGTTTGAAGAATGGGTGGGTAAAATTGATGCGACGGTACGTGCACAGTGTAGACGAAAATATTCGAATGAAGAGTCCATCGAAAATTAAATCTAAACTAGAAGCAAGGGCCTCTTTTTGTAAAGTGAATACACTTGTTGCACTGAAGAGGACCGCAGTTTGTTGGCGGTCGAAACGTTCGTTTTTTTCCTGTAAGCTTTTTTTATTTTTTCAATTATTCACTGAAAAAAAACACATTTGATCGAGAGTCCAGACTATTAAAAACATCGACAAGAAAAAATACTCTTGATTCAGTCGGATTCTAGCTTAAATCAAGAACCAAGCTTCTTAATTTGAGCGTATCTCCTTTTGATTAAGCTTAAATCTGATTGAATTAAGAGTCCTTTTTCTTTTCAATGTTTTCAAGAGTCTGAACTCTAGATCCAATGTGTTTTTTCCAGTGTTTCTCAACTCTATGTAGTTTGAAATATTATTTGATTAATTTATTTTTGGCTTATAGCTCGATTTTTTGCAATCATTTTACCATGTTTCATGCAGCTTAGCCGGTCAAATTTGGCATTAGAATTCAATTTATAACCTTTGCCGAGTCCAGCTGATAATTTTCAAAACCACTAAGCATCAATGAACTGATTAGTGGACGGATGCATACTTTTCTGCAGGACGGAATATGGTAACACGATGTGGTAAAAGTCCTCCGACCGTGAGGCATTATCAATCATCCCTCCTGTCTGGTGTGGAGGCGTCCTTTGCATTCTGCTCTAATCTTGACCGTCTTGTGTTCACAGAGGCGCAAAATGACAAACTCAAGCTCAGTTCTTTGATACAAGTTGAACGGACGCAGGGCATCATGAAGGGACGACACCACTTGAAGCGGAGGTTTAGCCTTCAGCCGGCATCTTTTCTCAGGGACAGTTCCACGCACCATGAGCGATCCAAAAGGTAATCTTTCTAGATATTTCGTGCAGTAAATAGAATGAAATAGTCGCAAAAAAAAAGGTTTTTTGAAGACACCGTTGATAAGGGTGGAGACGACTTGTAAAATTCTTAATCGAAAATTTGAGAGGATTCAACTCTCGGGTTTCAATCTGTCATTTCAAAATGTTCTGAATTTTAAATGACACCTCATCTCCAAATTTTTTAAAGTATGATTGTTCGGTTATCTATCTGACTATGTGACTTAAAAATAAATGTTGAATAGTGTTACTATACTAGTCTTTTCAAATTTCAATCGTGCATCCTTGTATTACAAGTCCAAAATTAGTGCACACATGTCTACATTAAAATCCTTAGTGTGAATATGACCCAATTAATTCTTCCTTCCATCCAGTCGGTAGCTAGATAGTTTGTCCAATTTTTTTTTACCGATACCTAGTTTGGCCGACAAATTTATTCCGAATTATACTTTGGCAGCGTTGCTCACGTATTCCTTTAAGCACCGCTACAAACAAGGCAAACGAAGCCAACACAACAAGGACATAGAATGAGAAAAAGGACTCGTTTTGATGAAGGCGCAGAGATACCACTATTCGTGCTCGATGGATGTCCATGTTGTATCTGCAAAATTGAAGGCACTATGGCGTGAGGCGTGAGCTCGCGATGTCCCGCTCTAGACTGTCAATGAACGTTCGCTTTGGTTCGAGAGAAAAGTTTCAAGAAACCAGACCCAACCAATTCTCTCTTAGCTTTGGCTGTGTTGATATTTGATTTATTTTTCTCTTGTTTTCAATTTAATATGCCTCAATTATTTTTTTAATATGTATTTTTAGTCCTACATCTAAAATTCGGATTTGCCACAGACCATACCAGACAGATTGTCTGGAAATATCCTGTCATTTGTGTATCGACTATTAAATAATACGAATAACTTGAGTGCATCCTCGCTGTTTAAACCCGAAACTGCATCATCATGCACTATGGTATACGCTCCTAAATTTGTTGAATGAGACATTTCTGCAACGTAAGATAGAATCTCTAATTCTCATAACTAACTAAGTTGATTAATAACTTTTGACCTCTTGCCACCCATCAGAGGGCTGCAGCTGCATTACCCCTGGGATAATCCTAGATCAATTGCAGGCACTAAATTCCAATTCTGTGTCAGACACATACTACCCCTCATCAGAACAACCGTCACGCCCACTTCAGTCCTAAACATGGCTTTTGCTTCTGAGTTGCATCAAATGGGCCTTGGTTTTGTAGAAGTTCCTAAATTATCGATCAAAAGTTTTTGCACACCCCTTTCAAACGACGAGAATCATTTTCCACGGAAATAAAAAGCTCATCCTCGTGATTCGGAAAGTTTTCCTCATCTGGAAATGCAGATTTGATGCAGCTAAACACACATTAAGAGAATGCAACTTTTTGAATTAATTTCACAGGAAAAAATAATATGTTGCTTTGGCACATGAGATGTCAAAAATGTGTCTGGTGATCCCCAGATGCTGCATTTAATGCTCCCGCAGTTAATTTAAGATCATGTGAATGCAAATTCAACTGCTTGGGCAATGCAGGTAGCATCTTAGAATCACCGGACACATTTTTGACATCCGAAAAGCTAAAACAGTATACTATTTTTTCCAGTGTTGAATCAAAACCGTGTTGTGGATTTTCGCGAGATGATCTAAGCTTTTTTATCAATATATTTAGACCATAATGAGGGTAACAGTACAGGAGTGCGTATCTCGGAAAACACGATTTTTCAGGAGAGCAAGAGGACTGAAAAAACCACAATCTGAACCAAGCGTTTGGACTCTCTTTTATAAAATAAGACCTACAGAAAAAAAAATCTTGGAAGGTATAACAATATTCTTCGAGCCTTCTTCAAAATTAGGGCTCGATTGAGGACTCCAAAAGTCTGATCATTTATGGTCAACATCGTCGTACAGGGACCAACGGATAGGATACAGAAGAGCGCCTTCAAAACTATGCATAATCTTAATGCAAAATTCTGATACCACTATTCGTGCGTCACGACAGTCATTTTGCATAGTAGGCCAATTGAAGGCGAATCATTAACCCATGCAGCAGGCTACGAATTTCAGCAATGCGATAGGTGTTTTGTACGGGACAAAACCTCTGGGGGTGCCCCACTTGGCATACAAGAAGCCCAACCCCCGGGGCTGCCCCCCTTGGCGTCCAAGTTGCCCAATCCTTGGGGCTGCCCCCACTGGCATCCAAGAAGCCCACCCCCCGAGGATTCCCCCTAGGTATCGAGGGGTTCTAGTCATCTCCACTACACTTGAAGCACTCGCTTGGGCGCGGCTCATATCTGTCATATTCGAAAATGTCTGTGCATTATTTGCCAAACGGATCAATTGGTGAAAGAACTAAGGTGCCTAAAATTAGAAGTCATTTCGAAGTATTTATAGATACAGCTCAAAGCGATCGAAATTTTGAAACAGTAAGTTGCCTTACTTTCATGAAGGGGAAACAGGCCGTTATGTGGAGATGCATTTGTCATCTCTATTATACGCCTGAATCAAAATATCCGGACCATCCTTCAGGGATGCATCCACGGACTTCTCTTAAACGAAGAATTCACACATTCGACCCTTATATTGAGCCTCTAGCGTAGATGAAGCGTTAAGTAACTCGATTGACTCTAATACAAGTGACCGTTGTGATAAACCGTCAGTTTATTATTGCCGTTGCCCAGTGAGTGAATAATGGACATGAACGCCGCGCGCCGCCAGTAATACCTATGTAGAAATGACACTCGAGAGTCTCTTCGAGAGACAAACATGCAGCAACTTTTTAGGACCAGGGAATTCCTGAAAATATATAACGGCACAGAACAGCTTATCTGCTCACGTATGCTGTGGGCGCGCGGGAAACACTGAGGAGAGCGCCTTGTGCGTTAGGAGGGCTGCGATGCAATGAGCCACAGATCTTGGCGCCACGCTCGGATCTCGGCTAAAATTCGGGCCCAGCGCCACAGAGTGTGGCGCACTCCTGCAATCCACACTCCTGCAAAATCCTCAAATTTCCCTTATGTTTAAAACCGCTTAAGTGCTGGTGCAACCTGCCACAAAGTTCAGCTTACAGTTGACTTTCCGCTCATCTTTGACTTTCGTAAAAAACTGCCCAACCAACTTTGATATGCAGCTAACTCAAAAATTGAGATACCCACTTCTGTGTTTTCACCATCGATAAATACATGGACACACAGAAAACGGGGGAAGAACTTAAAATGGGTAATTCCTCGTGTAAAACATTTTTCATGAATTTCAAAAGTAATGTCCCAAACAATCAGACCAAGCAAATGAGATCTGACTTACAGTGTCGCGAACATCGTTCTCAACGCTCAGGTGGCAGGATACCCCTCCGCTTCATCGCACTGGCGCGATTCAATTCGGGGAAATTTCAGAATGGTTTACATCCACAAAAAAAAAAGAAGAAAAAAAAAACTGGATCATGAATATTCGAGACTGGAGAGGGGGCAGCTAGGGGGGGCCTCGGGGGAGCTCCGCACAAAGAGGGAAAGAGGGAAAGAGGGGCCGGGGGGGGGAGAGAAGTTATTCCATAAAACGAAGGGAATGAATTCAAATCAAATTATGCAAATACATCAGCGTGGGGTATTTATCCAAGTTAATGAAAGTTGACTTTCCATGTTCGTGGTAGGCTTATGGGCCTGCGAATTAGACTGCGCTCTAACTGCGTTTCATAACTGTTTGATGATAAGCTGGAATTTGGCCACACGTTTTCGACCGAGTAACGACCGAGCCTGGTGACGTCATTACAGGCTCCCGTGTTTCAGGGAGGGAGTGAAACTTCAAAGTTTCCTCGATGAATTGTAAAGAGCCTCCCAAAATTTCGCCCCCCATTTTCGGTATTCGATTCGACCATCGAAACAAGGTTTAAGTGGAAGCTTATAATAACAGAAACTCCGGAAAAAATTTCAAGGTGAATATAGGAACCGTTTTCGAGTTACGGGGGGGGGGGGCAAAGGGGTCAAACTCCGGCCTTATTTTTTGCTATTTTCTTGTTGAATTAATGTGTCTACGGGGTTGTTATCGTTATGTAAACACATGTTATACACACCGATTTCTACGTATTTTTACACGCGAAATCGAGTTTTAATTTTGACGAGTCGATTAATCGATCGGTTATATCGATTTTTTAAGATTCTTTACGGAAAATCGACGATTTTTTGAGATTGAAATTGTTCACTTTTTATTCATGGATGAATAAATGCACCTAATATGACTGTAGTACACCGACACCTACGGTTTTTTTTCTTGTAGAATCGATTTTTAACGTTAAAGAGTATATATATGAATCGCTCATATCGAATTTTTGCGATTTTTTGGGAAAATCAATGATACATTGGTATTGGAATTGGTTATTCTCCATCCGAGAACAACCGAATTTTGGGTTTGAACACATTTCCAGTCGGGTCGATTTCCAGTTGAGTCAGGTTTTCGATTGGGGCACATTTCCGGTCGAGCAGAGTTTACGGTTGTCGATTTCCGGTTAAGTGAAATTCGGCCGGACGATCAGTCGATTGATTTGAGTTTCTGGTGGGAAAGATCACCGGTTGAGTAAAATTTTGGTTAGCAGGGATAGATCAGTTTTTCGGTTGAGTAGGATTTGTGGTAAATTTGAGTTTCCAGTTTTTTTTTTTTTTTTTTTTTTTTTTTTTTTTTGTAGTTCTTCCGGGAGAAAAAGTGGCGAATCTTATCGAAGATATGACAATTTAAGCATCTTGTTCCGCGGGCTGTGTGAACAAAGTCGGGGGTTTCGATTTCCATCCGTTTCGCACTACCACCCCAACATGGGGTGGGTTTCGGCCAGATGGTCATCTAGATGGTTAAACTATCATATGTTGGTTTAGGCTCTAATTTAGAAAGTTGCTCTGATCAGGAGCTGGCTAGGGAGATCGGGGACGATGATTGAATGCATGATTGAATTCAAAGCATAATAATCCCTACTTCCAATCT